TGGCCTGCGACCCGCTGGGCGGGAGCCACCTGCTCATCCAGGTACCGCGCTGGGCCTCGGCCCTCCAGGGCTTGGCAGAGCGCGGAGCTGGGGGGCCGGGGGATCCCCAGGGGCCAGCCGGGTGTGGGGTGGGTGCAGGCGCGGCGGGGTGGAGGGGCGCTGGCCAGGTGGCCGGCAGGGCTGCGGTGGGTGGGTGGCCAGCGATCTCCCAGGGATGGTGTCGATGGAGAAGCGTTTGGGAGGCTGGGGGGGTGGGTGGAGGAAGGTGAGGTACCTCTGTGGGAAAGGAATGAGCTGGCGGCTGGCTCGCTGGGGAAGCCCTTGGCAAGGCAGGTGTGGGAGTGACAATGGAGAGTGTCTAAAGTCCCAGGTGTAGTTGATGCTTCAGCTAGAGTTGGCGGGAGCCCTGTAGTGGCACCACCCTGGTTGCCTTGGGGAGGAGCCGCTGTTGTCTTCCTTCCCTTCAATGGAGACGGTAGAGTAGGTTTTCAGCAGTGTGTGGGGGGAAGAGGGGTTACTCTGTAGGTTGTTGCCACCTGGAAGTTGAGGACAAGTGGGTCATAACTTCTTAGTGTCGATACAGCCCCATTAAGGCTACACCGGACCATTATTTCCTTTGCAGAGGTATGGGGAAGCTCCTGGTATGGAAGAGAGACAAGGAAGTCGGTCCTTGCTATCCATACCGCCCTTTGCAAAGGAACTGCACATAGAGATTGTCTCCTCACCAGCCTACAGCACCAGAGGAGTCTATGACACTATTCTCCACCAGCACTTCCAAACTCCCAGGTTAGCCTTTTGGTAAAGATGACACGTTATTTTTGTCCCTTTAATTGCCCTAGGAAGAAGGGAGCATCTCAATGCCATGCTTCATCGCTGCTTCTTAAGTACACAACGAGCAATGCACCTCCAAAGTACCCATTGCACGGTTGACTAAACCTATTAATACTCACTGAGAATGATCACAAACTAACCTGGGAATATTTGGAACATCCCACTGGGGTGCCTGCTTAACTCAGCAAAATAGCCTAGGGCACGTACTGAGAACTGTTTTCCACTATCGATCCACCCTACTTCCTCCCCCTGGGATATCCCCCGACCTTGTGCTAAGCTTCCTCAATCTCCTCCTTCAAATCATTCCTCGGTACTCCCTTCTGCTGGAGTGTTGTCTGTAACACATGCAAGGTCATTGTCCCGCTCTGCTCGGCACTGGTGAGGCCATAGCTGGAGTCCTGTGTCCAGTTCTGGGCGCCACGTTTTAGGAAAGATGTGGATATACTGCAGAGAATCCAGAGGAGAGCAACAAAAATGATATGAAAAACTGGGCATGTCTGGTCTTGAGAAAAGAAGACTGAATAGGAACCTGATAACAGTCTTCAAATACGCTACGGGCTGTTATACAGAGGACAGTGATTAATTGTTCTCCATGTCCATTGACGATAGAAACTTCTGTTGCTGGCCCTTTCCAAATATCTTCATTCTGGGCACTGTTTGTAAAACCAATATTAAACTTAATTAAAAAAAAAATCTGATGAGTAACTGTTTGTTATAAGAACGGCCATGCTGGGTCAGACCCAATATTCTGTCTTCTGACCGTGGCCAGTGCCAGATGCTTTGGATGGAATGAACAGAACAGGGCAATTATAGAGTGATTCCTCCCTTCTTGTCCAGTCCGAGCTTCTGGCAGTCAGAGGTTTAGGGATACCCAGACCATGGGGTTATGTCCCTGACCATTTTAACTAATAGCCATTGATGGACCTATCCTCCATGAATTCTTTTTTGAACCTGGTTATACTTTTGGCCTTCACAGCATCCTATGGCAACAAGTTCCACAACTTGACTGTGCATTGTATAAAAAAGTACTTCCTTATGTTTAAATTAACAGGCAGCAGGTTTAAAATAATCACATGACCTCTGGTTCTTGTGTTATGCAAAAAGGTAAATAATGCTTCTCTATTCACTTTCTCCACCCCAGTCATGATTTTATAGACCTCTAACATATCCCCCCTTAGTTGTCTCTTTTCTAAGACTGAACAATCCGAGCCTCTGTAATCTCTCCTCATATGGACCCTGTTCTATACCCTGGATCAGTTTTGTTGCCCTTCTCTGAACCTTTTCTAATTCTAATATATCTTTTATGAGATGGGGCGACTAGCACTGCATGCAGTATTCAAGCTATGGACGTACCATGGATTTGTATAGTGGCATTATGATATTTTCTGTCTTATTATTTATCCCTTATTGGTGTCTAACATTACTAGTGTTTTTGGCTGCTGCTGCACATTGAGTGGATGTTTTTAGAGAACTATCCACAATGACTCCAAGATCTCTTTCTTGAGTGGTAACCGCTAACTTAGACCCATCATTTTGTATGTATAGTTGGGATTATGTTTTCCAATGTGCATTACTTTTCACTTATCAACATTGAATTTCATCTGCTATTTTGTTGCCCAGTCACCCAGTTTAGTGAGATCCCTTTGTAACTCTTCACAACCAGCTTTGGACTTAACTATCTTCAGTAATCTGTATCATCTGCAGATTTTGCCAGCTCACTATTCACTCCCTTTTCCAGATCATATATGAATATGTTGACCATTACAGGTCCCGGTAGTCTCTCTCTGCATCTGGAGAATTCCCTTACAACACTTCCCTGTTTGCTGCTTCTGTTTGCTAGCTCTCATGATCTCTCGTGCTCTCTCTCATGTAACACTTCCCTCCCCCCACCCTGATCCCTAACTTTGTCATCATACCCTCCTAGGATGTCTTATAGGATGTCTACATTAGATTGTAAATGCAGGAGGGCAGAAGCTCTCACTTTGTCTGTAAAGTGCTGTGCAACCAACCCTATGATGCTGAATAGAAAAAAAAGAGAATCGGAGAAATGTCAGGCTGGAAGGGACCTCGGGAGGTCATCTCGTCCAGCCCCCTGCTAAATTTACCTAGATCATCCCTGATGTATGTTTATCTAACCTGTTCTTAAAATACCAACAATATCTCTATTTCCACACCAAATTCTGCAAACAGGGTAAAGCTGCATTCCCCATGCAGGAGTCCAGATGCGTCCACTCAGGAACCTGGGAGTGCTAAATCTGGTGTTTTAAGCCAGTTGTCTGATGTTTTAGAGTAGAGAGACACACTTGCTGGGTTTGAATGGCTTTTCCCCCTCCTGCTCAGATAAAGATAGCGCGGCTGATGGATTGATTTACTGTTTCTCACTGGTTTAATATTCTGAGGATGTGGAGGACTGCACAGCCTAAGAGAGTTGATCATTCACCATGGCTGTTGCTTTGTTGCAGGTTGGTCCAGGCGGGTGATATCCTGTGTATTCCGACAGCTGGACATCCTGAGTTCTTGGAAGGAAATTCAGAGAAATTTCTTAGGTATGCAGTGATCTCCCTATGCCTTTTCAGGCAGCTGTTAAAGAACTGCTTTTCCCTTCTGGCTCAGTTGAAGCCGGTGATAGATTCTTTTCTGATCTGTCCCTGGAACTCAGAGTTGGTCTGTTGTTGGGGTTTTTTTGGATTAAAAGTTTGTGTTGGATTTTAGGTGGGTATGCGGTTACACATCAATTCAGCAAAGCAGCCCTCTGAGAGCAACTGGTGGGGAAAAGAGGATGCAAGAGGGAGAGAAGCGAAGGAGAGGGAGGAGTGCACTGCAGCTGTTAAGTGACAGAAAAGCAGATTGAAGTAGATGTTTGGGCTTGTTTAAGTGGGAATATTATAATGGTATAAACTAAGGTGTGAATTTAAACCTCTGGAGTTACACTGGTATATTTCCCCATGTGGATAATCTTATTCTGGTGCAAGAGGGTCTTTTGGGGGGGTTAATTTATATAGCTGAGTGGCAGATACCACCAATTTGGTTGACTAAACGTATCCTCTCTATGCATATGTGCATCATACCTCATTTGAAAGCTTTATTGTGTCTACTTTAAGATGACGTCTGATATGAAGCGCTCAAGTGGTTCCGTTGCCATAGAAACAGGGATAAACAATGCCATCATCAAAACGTTAAAATGACCACTTGGAAATATTTGCATTAGTTTCTGTTAGTTTAGTGACTCTGTATATTATTGCAAGACATAAAAGTGGATTTTTTTTTTACCTCAAAGCATCACAACAACTATCTCACAGGTAAAACAAAATCAGTAATAAACGTGTACAGATATCATTGAAATGTAATAGTGTTGGTGACGACATCATCATCATCTTGTTCATCTGCTCTCTGTTGAGAGTGCCTGGGTTACCACAGTCTCCACTGCCTTAGCACGTACACAGTTCTGTGCAGAGGGGGTGGTTCTGACTACAGATACAGTTGATTGTTTGTGTGTGTGCAGTCGAGTGCTTTTCAGACCAGCCAAGACACTTTTTTTTTAAAGGTGGACAAAACAAAACAAGTCTTTGGTGGGGTATTTTTATGCAAAGGATACATATTCTCAGAGCAGACTTGTTTCTCAGGTCTGGTCTACACTGCAGACCTGTATTGGTATAACTGTGTCGCTCAGGGGTGTGAAATATCCACACCCCGCAGCAATGTAGTTTTACCGACCTAATCCCCATGTGGACAGCGGGATTATTAAGCAACAGAATGTGCAAAACGCTCAAATAATACAGAACGCTTATGGACAGATACTTTCTCACTGTCTGCCAGCTGGGAGGGGACGGGGGACAGTCTTGTCGTGCCCCCTCCTGTTCTGGTTTATGATGTGTGTAACCAGGGGGCCTAGAGGCCCCAATCGCCTCCTGGTGAGGAAAAGCTCATCTGGCTGGTGGGATTCAGGCTGCTTCTCTTCCTGTAGCTGGCCGGAGCTGTACTTCAAGGTGAAGAAGATTGTAGGAGTGGTGGAAGGAGAGCAGTCTGTGGGGTACCTGGCTGACATCCAGAACACGTCGCTGTACCTGGTAAGGTGTCAGCGGGAGGCCGAGGAGGGTGTACAGGAGATGTGTGAGGCTAAGATCGCACGGCCAGGATGATGTAGGAACACTGAATGGCCATGGAAGAGGTTCATGGCTCTACTCCCCAGATAGGTGCTTTAGGGAAGCAGTTCTCAAACTGTGGGTCAGGACCCCAAAGTGGGTCGGGACCCTGTTTTAATGGGGTTGCCAGGGCTGGCGTTAGACTTGCTGTGGCCCAGGACTGAAGCTGAAGCCCGAGCCCCTCTGCCCAGGGCAACGGGGCTCAGGGTACAGGCCCCCTAGCTGGGTATGAAGCCCTTGGACTTCGGCTTTGGCCCCCTGACCCGGGGCGGCGGGGCTTCGGCAGGCTCAGGCTTCAGCCCCCCCATCCTGGGGTCAGGCAGTAATTTTTGTTGTCAGAAGGGGGTCGCGGTGCAATGAAGCGTGAGAACCGGTGCTTTAGGGGATGCTGGGTGACTTGAGAAGACATCCCTTCTGAGGTGTGGTTGGAAAGCGTTATTTCCTGCCTTGCAGGTGGGTTCAACAAACAGCGCTGTGCCATCTTCCCCAAGCCGTGGTGGCCATGGGTTTTGGAGCAGTCTGTCTCCCGCCGGGCTCTCTGATGTGGTGAAGCAGCTCTGTGATGCTCTCCGGCCTCATCTGAACAGCAGGTAAGGTCACACTGATACAGCGCCCTTGTACTGGGGCGTTCCATCTGCTATGAGGAGGGGCTCCTCAGC